CAGGGGTCAGCGGGTGGACTTCCCAGCCCCCCTTTCTTTTCAGTTGTTGCCCATTGAGCGAGCAGCCCGGAGGCAGAAGGCGCTGGAGGCCGCGGGCTGTGGACTGGGGCCGGGGGCCGTGGCCATGGCCGTGGCGCTGGAGGACGGGGCGGAGCCCCCCGTGCTGACCACGCACCTGAAGAAGGTGGAGAACCACATCACCGAGGCCCAGCGCTTCTCCCACCTCCCCAAGCGCTCGTCGGTGGACATCGAGTTCGTGGAGCTGTCCTATTCCGTGCGGGAGGGGCCCTGCTGGCGAAAACGGGGTACGGAGCCGCCCGGCGGAGGGGGGGCGGGGGGCCCTCTCCAAGTTGCCTCTCCAGCAGGACGAGGCCTGGGGACCCCGCATCCTGCATGTCCGGCCCCAGCGGGCCCCGCCCCGCACAGACCGTGCGCGCGGCTGGGGTACCCGGCTCCCTGCGTCCCCACCCTCTTCTCTTTCCAGCCCCATGACCTCTGGTCCTTGAGTTTTCTTCTGTCTTTGTTTTATTTCTGGAGGATTCCTGCCTGGGGGGCCCGCCCCGGAGAGGGGCCGCTCTGTCTGGAGGCGCGCGCCCGGCACCGTTCCCCGGCACCTAGTCTTAAAGATGGTCTCATTCCTGCCATCTTCCTCCAGTCTGAGGCAGGAAGGATGGAGGTTTGGCAGGATGGATGTCATCCTCCTGTTACCCATAAGGAAACCGGGCCCTAGGGAAGTTGATGGACTAGACCAGTATCTCACGGCTAGTGAGTGGCATTGCTGAACAGGAGCTCAGTGTGACAGCTTCTTCCTCCCATCCGGATGGGGTCCCCTGAACCCTGACCAGTCAGTCCCCTGCACTGCTCCGCTGGGTAGCTTAAGCTGGGAAAGAGGGGGTCCCGGAACTGAGTGTGAGTCAGGGGCGGAGCTGGGACCTTGTTGACTGAGATTTAAGAAGTAAGATTGGGGTGCTTGCCAGCAGGGTGGAACATGCACTGTCTTCGCCTTCGCTATCCATTCTCATAGGTAACCAGGAGGTCCCAGGGCCCATGGAAGCTGAGGCGTCTGGGCTCCCTGCCTAAGCAGCCTCTTTCAGGCCTGAGACCTGCTCTAGGCGAGAGGATGATGTCCTTGCTATTTTCTTAGTCCTCTAATTGCCTCATAACTTTATGGTGAAATGAAGATGTGACTAGAAAAGCCTGCTCTCTGGTTGCTTCTACATACTTCCTGCATATTGGTGCCACCAGCCAGGGCCACCTCTCTTTTTGACTTGATTAACCCTATTCTGTCCATTGTCCATCTTCCATCTTTTTTCCTCTTTTCTGTCCTCCTCTCTCTGACCTCCCTTTTCCTGTGACTTCTCTCCCTGGGAGAACAGAAAGCAATTAGGAGTAGCAGAGAGGGTGAGAAAGATGCGGAGGGAGGGAGGCTTCTGCTTCTCCCAGGTAAGGATTTGTCCCTGTCAGTCAAATTTCTTATTTTTCAAGCTGAGTGTCAGTGGCTCACACACCTGTAATCCTAGCTACTCAGGAGGCTGAGATCTGAGGATTGAGGTTTGAAACCAGCCTAGGCAGGAAAGTCCATGAGACTATCTCCAATAAATCACCAAAAAGCAGAAATGGAGCTATGGCTCAACTGGTAGAGCACTAGCCTTGAGCAAAGGAAACTGAGCAACAGTACCCAGGCTCTAAATTCAAACCCTAAGACTAGCGCACGTGCGCACATGCGCACACACACACACACACACACACACACACGCATCTTTTTTTTTTTTTACTTTTCAAAACACTTTCCTATTATTAATGATGTCACCAAATATTTATAATAACCTTAGTAAGTCTTCAGGAGGAGTTTCTTCCATTTTTCTTTCATGGATAAGAAATTAGAGGATTAAAGATTGACTTGCTGAGTGTATAATTCCAGCCCTTGTGTGGTAGGAAGATTCTGAGTTCAGGGCCAACTTGGGGTACATAGTGAGACCCTGCCACCTCAAAAAGGAAAAAAAAAAGATTTAATGACTTGACAAAGTTGCAGAGGATCAGTCAGGCGCTGGTGGCTCGTACCGTAATCTTAGAAACTCTGGAGGCCAAGAGCTGAGGATAGTGGTTCAAAGCCAGCCTGGGCAGGAAAGTCCCTGTAGGATTCTTATCTCGTATTAACCACTCAAAAACTGGAAGTGGAGCTGTGGCTCAAAGTGGTAGAGTGCTAATATGTATGTGTGTGTGTATGTATGTATATGTATGTATGTATGTATATGTTAGGTTTTTAAAAAGAGGTAATCAAGTAAGAACTGCACCACGCACGTGGTATTCAGGTAAGGGGTTTATTCAGTAGACCTGCTGGGACCAGGCAAGGTTGGCACTCCACGAGGCTGGCAAAGGAAAAGAAAAGGGCGGTCTGGCCGCGGTTTATTCCTTATATAGGGTAGGGGGGCAGGGAAGGGTGTGTCCAGGTAAAGGGAAGTGGGGTCAGGTGGGAGAAAGGTGTGGCCACATCAGGTTAAGATGTGACCTCAGCGGATGCGGATGTGACCTCTTCCAGGTGTCCCAGTTGCCTAGGTAACGCAGGTACTGGGCGAGGTCTGTTCGCTTGTCCAGGAATGGACCTTACAGTATATATATATATATATATATATATTTTTCCAGTCCTGAGACTTCAGTTCAGGGCGTGGGCACTGCCCCTGAGCTTTCTTTTGCTCAAGGCTAGCACTCTACCATTTGAGCCACAGTGCCACTTGTGGCTTTTCTGTGTATGTGGTACTGAGGAATCACACTCAGGGCTTCATGCATGCCAGGCAAGCATTCTATCACTAAGTCACATTTCCAGTCCTAGAGTGCTAGCTTGAGCAAAAGAGCTCAGGGACAACACCCAGGCCCTGAGTTCAAGCTCCACAACTGACCAAAAACAAATTGCACAGAATTATCACCCCAGACAAAATTAAAACATTGGCGGCATCTTTCCAGTGCGAAGACCTGGCAAGCCCTCAAATGCGGAGCAGTTACGTACAGTGGAAGTTCAAATGCACGGCTTCCCAGCCCTTGGCTACTGCGTGACCTTGTCAGGCTGCGTGCCTTCTCTTGGCCTGACTCCCCTTATCTGTAAATGGGGATGATAACCCCAGCTTGTTGGGGAGCTCAGCTGCGTTGTCTGTGGAAGAGCTTTGTGAAAGGCAAGTGGAAGATGATATTCGTGCTAGGCGTCATGTTCCACCAGCGCCTGGCTGTGATTAAATGAGGGGAAGGTTCACCCCTGTACTTTCTTCCCCTGCACAAGAAATCACTTCCTGTGTGGGGTGCCGGAACCACCCATGCCATGGGGATGAGTGAGGAAGGGCATTGAAACCGATGGCTTCTTCTTCCAGTAAAGAGCATGCTGTGTGACCTCCGGTGAGTCACCGGCTGCTCTGGTCTCACTTGGCCCATTCCAGCTTAGAAACAAGCAGGGCCTGGCCATTGATGAGTGTAGCTGTGACAGTAAGCTGGGGCTGCCCCCCTTCCCATGGGAGATGCCCAAGGGGACAGCTGGGCCCAGCACACAGTCCTGGTGGGGTGGTCAGTGGACAAAGTGAGGAAGCCTTTCATTGTTTCTGCTCAGGAGGTAGGGTGGGGCTGGGTGGGGGGCGGGGTGAGGGGTGGGTGCTTGGTGCCTCCTCAGAGGTAAGCCACACCTCGTCGGTTTTCTCATCCTCCTCCACCCCTAGCTCACCGGTGTGGCCATGGCAGTCCCTGCCCTCTGTTTCCTGGACTGTTTTACATAGCAGAGCTTTGCTTCCTGAAGCCTGGGGGGATTCTGTCATTCATCCCTCGCTCCTGCGTCACCTCTTCCACGGATCCACTCCCGATTTTCCACCCCCCACCCCATCAGTTCCACTGTATGCATTCTCTTGGCAGCCTCCTGGTGCTTCTATGATAGCCCGTATTTACTGTTTTTCAGATCACAGGTATTTTCAGTCTGTCTGTGATCTTTTTGTCCAGTATTTGTTACAGAGCCTGGTATATTGTAGGTATCTACATGCATTGGTCAAGTATTAACCATACAGTCACTTTTTAAATGTACTCTACAGGCCAACTTCTGTGTCATATGCTTTATCAAATCTTCCTAACAACCCTATGAGATAGGTGTTATCCTCTTCATTTTACAGATGAGGGACCTGGAACTTAGAGAGGCTAAGCCACTTGCTTGACGCCATATACCTAGGACATATGGAGCCAGAATTTGAACCCAGATCCACCTGACTCCATCCTAGTAGCCTTTATGCATGTGCTGCCTCTTAGTGAAGGAATAACGGGTGAGGTTTTGCCAGGGCCATGTTAGGGGTTGGAGAGACAGTATTGCAGTGCAGAGAATTCACAAAAAAGGCAGGCTTATTTTTCTCAGAGGCAAAAAAGCTCTGAGAACACACACTTACTGAGCACCTACTACATGCTAGACAGACCGTGAAGGTTGGAAAGATGAGTAAGACACAGAAACTCAATGACTAATAGGCGGGAGGAGAAGATGAGCGACATGATCAAGTCAAAAACATGTTGGCAGATGACAGGTGCTTTGGGAACGCAGAGATCAGCCAGCCAGCCGGACTGTCCTCTGCGGGACCGGTGGGAAAGTCTCCCTGACCACTGTGGTCCCAGAGAGGAGCTGGGTCTTCCAGGACCGCAATCCCATTCGAGAGGCCTAGGATTTCTCAAAAGCTTCCCATACTTTGACATTAGCAAGGGCGGCTTTGGAGGGACGGGATGGGAGTGTCGAGTCCTTGTTGGTGTGAGAGCAGCTCTTCCATCCTGGGCCCTGTCACACTGCACGAGGCCTGAGTACCTCACCCACAGCCGCAGCTGCTACGCGGAATTTGGGTGTGTCTCTGTTCACGGCAACTATGACCAGAGACCTCTCTCTTCCTCACTTGCAGGTTATAAGACCCTCCTCAAGTGCCTATCTGGTAAATTCTGTCGCCGGGAACTGATTGGGATCATGGGCCCCTCTGGGGCTGGGAAGTCCACGTTCATGAACATCTTGGCAGGGTACAGGTGAGAAGGAGCGAGAGATTCAGGAAGAAGGCTCGCGTGGGGAGTATGGAGGTGGCTTTGACGCTTATCCCTCAACCAATGTCCTCACAGGGAGAGCGGAATGAAAGGGCAGATCCTGGTTAATGGGAGGCCAAGAGAGCTGAGGACCTTCCGTAAGATGTCTTGCTACATCATGCAGGACGACATGCTACTGCCACACCTCACGGTGCTGGAAGCCATGATGGTGAGGGCAAGATGGCCGTCCCCTTCCCTCTAGTGCCTTTCTGACTACACCCCTTCCCCCTGCCCGCCACACCCCCCTCAGCAGAGGGCTTCCGGCTGTATCCTCCTACACACACCTCTCTTGCCTGCTCTTTGGCCCCAGGTCTCAGCCAACCTGAAGCTGAGTGAGAAACAAGAGGTGAAGAAGGAGCTGGTAAGTGAAGAAGAGGAGGCCCGAGGCCTTTGAGGGGATGAGTTCAGGGGGGCTCAGAGTCTGGGTGAGAGAGTGAAAGCCACAGTGTGGGCCAAGGATTTAAAGGGGGTGGTGCCTGAGGGAAGTGGAGACCCTGAGTCTGACTTAGGCTGGTGTGTGTGTGTGTGTGTGGCTCAGGTGACGGAGATCCTCACGGCACTGGGCCTGATGTCCTGCTCGCACACACGGACAGCTCTGCTCTCTGGCGGGCAGAGGAAGCGCCTGGCTATCGCCCTGGAGTTGGTCAACAATCCGCCTGTCATGTTCTTTGATGAACCGACCAGGTAGTTCTCCCCCAGGAATCCTCCTCCCTCTCCGCCTCCCTCCCCCACTGCCTGCAGCCTCCTGGGGCCAAGAAAAGGGCCGACTCCTCATCTCCATCCTTGCCCTCTCCCCTCCATTGATGGCTCTCTCTCTCTCTTCTCACCAAGTCCTGTTGATTCCACCTCCTTTTTGGTAGCTTTCAGCTTCCCCCTACCCCATGGCTAGTGCCAGGGCTAGTGTGTTCAGGTCATCATCAGTGTCTCTCATCTACCTGCCTCTAATCTTTCTCAGCCAGTACTTTTGTTGTTGTTGTTGTTGTTGTTGTCAGTCACGGGGCCTGAACTCTGGGCCTGGGTGCTGTCTCTCAACTCTTCAGCTTAAGGCAAGCGCTCTACCACGGAGCCACCTTCCCAGCCCCATCAGCCAGTCTTTCTCCCACCTGCAGCCAGAGTAGACTTTCTTCTCAAAGACAAGGCTGCTTCCAGCATGCAACCAGTTCCATTTGCCCTCAGAATAAAAGCCAGGTGGCTTACAAGGTCCTGCTCTGAACCTATTTCTGCGGCCTCATGTCTTGTATTTTATGCTCTAATAACACCGATTGGCTTATAATTTGCTTGGTGGAACCATGTGTTTCATGCCTCTAAGCTTTGCCCATGCTGCGCATTCTGCCTGGAATGCCCTTCACCACACACTGTCCCTTTCTACCTTCACCAGTGTAATGCTTACTTCTTCAGATTCACTCAGGAACCTTCTCTGGCTGCCCTCCAACCTCCTGCTACAGCATGGCTGCTCTCCCGCCTCGCCTTCTCTCGGTTGCTATAGCACTTTCTCCATCCCCCAAATCAACTGCGAGCTTGTCTCCCTCCCTCCAGACCACAGTCTCATCTATGAATCATTGCCATTCCCGTGCCTGGCATACAACAGGTGCTTGGTAGAGGCTTGTTAAAGAGAACGGAGCTCTGGGCTTCTGGTAGCTCCAAATGCCAGAAAACATGCCTGGTGTACAGGAGATGGAGGCGGCTACAAGGGCCCCCCTTTCCTGCCAGCTCCATCTCTTGGGCAGCGGCTGCTCTGCCCTTCCCCCCTCAGCTCTCTCTTCCTGGCCCCACCCATCTCACCTGGCCCCATGCTGTCCTCTCTCCGGACAGCGGTCTGGACAGTGCTTCTTGTTTCCAAGTGGTGTCCCTCATGAAGTCCCTGGCCCAAGGGGGGCGTACCATCATCTGCACCATCCACCAGCCCAGCGCCAAGCTCTTTGAGATGTTTGACAAGGTGAGTTCGCGTCTGGGTCTGGAAAAAGGTTGGCTTGACATGGAGAAGGGGAAGGAGGCCAGGAGAGGTGCTGATGGGGGCCCTGGGCTCCTTGTCTTCCTCACCCCTGTCTTCTGCCTCAGCTCTACATCCTGAGCCAGGGTCAGTGCATCTTTAAGGGCGTGGTCACCAACCTGATCCCCTATCTGAAGGGGCTGGGCCTGCACTGCCCCACCTACCACAACCCAGCTGACTTCAGTGAGTGGGGACCCTGGGGAAAGGGAGGGATGCATTGATGGGTGCACCCCGGGGGCTTGGGTCAGATGCCCAGTCCTCTCGGGGCAGCGATCTGCCTGTCACCTGCCTCCACACACTCACCACACCAAGGAGGTGCTGCTGAGCCTCGGGGTGGCGCTGGTAAACCCGAGCTGAGCCTGTGGATGTGTGTGTCCTCAGTCATCGAGGTGGCATCTGGAGAGTATGGAGACTTGAACCCCATGCTGTTCAGGGCAGTGCAGAATGGACTTTGCGCCATGGCTGAGAAGAAGAGCAGTCCGGAGAAGAATGAGGTCTCTTCTCACTGTCCCTCTTGCCCACCGGTGAGTGGAGTGGATTGGGCAGCAAGGGCAGAGTGGGGGAAGGGAGGTGGGCTCACGGATTGGGGCCCTGCCAAAGAGGCCATGCCTCAGGGGTATCACAACCCCTGGGTTCTTGGAACAAATCCACCATGAACGGCCTGTGTCCTCAGCCCCAGCAACTGTGCTCAGCTTTGGTTTGTCCAAATGTGTCCTCAGTGCTCACCTGAACCACTGGTCTCATAGCCAGGGGACTTCCTGTCATCTCTAACCAGAAGTGATGCCATTTCCCTCGCATGGGTGCTGGGAGAGTGTACTACCTAGTCACATGAAGTTCTTAGCAGCCACGGGGGCAGCGCACACGTGGCCTGTGCCAAGCCTCTTCATTAGATGAGATACTGTCACCTTTCAAAACCAAAGGCTTACTCTTCATTATCATTAGCATTGTCGTCATCATTATTGAATAACGTTACTGTGAAACTCATTGTCCTAAAGGAATTATGGCCTTAGTGGGTTTTTTGTTGTTGTTGTTTTTGTTTTGTATTGATTCTGGGACTTGAATTCAGGGTCTTTTCACCCTCACTTGGCCTTTTTTTTTTTCTTTTTTGTGCCAGTCCTGGGCTTGAACTCAGGTCTTAGGTGCTGTCCCTGAGCTTTTGTGCTCAAAGCTAGTGCTCTATCATTTGAGCCATAGTTCACTTCTGGCTTTTTTTGGTGCTTAATTAGAAATAAAGAGTTTCACACGCTTTCCTGTCTGGGCTAGCTTTGAACTATGATTGTCAGATCTTGGCTTCCTGAATAGCTAGGATTATAGGCGTGAGCTACCAGTCACCAGCTTCTGAGTGGTAATGTTAATGGGATTAAAGAACTTCGAGCTCAGGCTGGGAAGGTGGCTTACTGGTAGAGTGCTTGCTTAACATGCATGAAACCCTGGGTTTGATTCCCCAGTAGCACATAAACAGAAAAAGCTGGAAATGGCACTGTGGCTCAAAGTGGTAGAGTACTAGCCTTGAACAAAAGCAGCTCAGGCATAGGGGACAGGCCCTGAGTTCAAGGCCTGGCAAAAAAGAAAAAGAAAAAGAACTCTGAGCTAACACGAGGTCCTTGACGCCTTCCCATGTCCTAGCTCTCAAGTCTTCACCCACTCCTGTGTCTCTCTCTTCCTCAGTATCCCTCCGATTCAGACCCCTAAATCTAGCTTCCAGGCACACAGCTCAGTGGAGGAGGCCTCCTCTCTTCAGTAGACCTCAGCCTGCTCTGGGAAAGGCTGAGTGGGCTGCAGCGAGTGGAGCAGACTCACCTGGTCTCATTTCTTCTCCCCAGGACGTGGATACCATCGAGAGCCACACCTTTGCCACCAGCACCCTCACCCAGTTCTGCATCCTCTTCAGGAGGACCTTCCTGTCCATCCTCAGGGACACGGTGAGGCATTGAGTTGGAGGAGAGGAGGCCCAGGCCTGGCCTTTTGAGTGGTAGGATCGCAGCTGCTGGGCTAGGAATGCCCCCCCACCCCCGCCCGCTCCTGCCCCCCCATCCCACAACTTCCAGTGCCTCTGTGGGGCCATGTGCAAGAAAGTGCAGTCTGGCGTTCCTGCCCCAGAGTGTCCTGCGCTGTGTCCTGCCTGGCCAACACCTTGGGACACACCCTGTCCTCATCAGGACCCCTTCCACAGGTCCTGACCCACTTGCGGTTCATGTCCCACGTGGTGATCGGCGTGCTCATCGGTCTCCTCTACCTGCACATCGGCGATGACGCCAGCAAGGTCTTCAACAACACCGGCTGCCTCTTCTTCTCCATGCTGTTCCTCATGTTTGCTGCCCTCATGCCAACTGTGCTTACCTGTAAGCTGCGCTGCCTGAGGGGTGAGGCCTGGGTGCGGGCACCAGGGCCAGGGGCTCACCATGGAGCCTGATCCACCTGTCTCCTCAGTCCCCTTAGAGATGGCAGTCTTCATGAGGGAGCATCTCAACTACTGGTACAGCCTCAAAGCGTATTACCTGGCCAAGACCATGGCTGACGTGCCCTTTCAGGTGAGCCTCTTCCTCTCAGCTGCCCACTGTCTCCTCCGTCCTTGCTTGCTGGCCTCCCTTAACCTGTGTTCCCATCCTTTCCTTCTACTCCCTGCAAAGAGGTGGTGAGTACTTCCTGTGCACTGCGCTAACCAGGCACACATGTGGGGAATGAACAACAACAAAAATCTGTGGAACTCGGGATAGAACTCAGCGCTTTTACTTCTGTGAATAATGACAGTAACAACTTCAGGATGGTGTTTGAAAAATACATGTAAATTGTGTGTGTGTGTATATGTGTGCATGTGTGCCAATCTTGAGTCTTGAACTCAGGGTCTGGACATTCCCCCTGAACTCTAGCACAGTTCTACTTCTAGCTTTTTGGTAGTTTATTGGCGATAAGAGTCTTAGGGACTGTCCTGCCTAGGCTGGCTTTGCACTGTGATCCTCAGATCTCAGCCTCCTGTGTAGTTAGGATTAGAGGCCTAGCCACTTATGCTTGGTATGTCAAGATTTAAAAAAAAATCACTATGGGATACATATTAAGTGAAACAAATGAGAGCACTCAGTTATCTCATATAGTTACTTTTCTGTGAAAGAGAAGCTAAGATATATCTATTTAACAAACATTCCTGATACAAAGTAATTTTATTATCTGTAGTCTCCATGTTGTACGTTACATAGCTGGACCTGCTGATTCTACATATCTGCTTCTTTGTATCCAAAACGATGATAATTTCAAGGAGGGAGAAAACATTGCTGTGGAAAGCCAATTAATTAACAATATAAGAAAAAGCTGGTCCAGAGAGGAAGGCCTTCTGGCCCTTAAAGGCCTCATGAAGCTGTGTTCCTTTGACTCAGGCCTGTAATCCTAGCTACTCTGGAAGCTGAGATCTGAGGATCGTGATTCAACGCCAGCTTGGGCAGGAAAGTCTTTGAGACTCTTATTTCCAATTAATAACCAAAAAGCTAGAAGTGATCTGCTGCTCAAGTGGTAGAGTGCTAGCCTTGAGCAAAAAAGCTCAGGGAAGCTGGGCACCAGTAGCTCATGCCTGTAATCCTAGCTACTCAGGAGACTGAGATTTGGGGATTGAGATTCAAAGCCAGGCTAGGCTGAGAAGTCTGTGAGACTCTTATCTCCAGTTAATCACACACACATAAAAAAGGCAGAAGTGGAGCTGTGGCTTAAGTGGTAGAGCACTAATTAGCCTTGTGCAAAAAAGCTCAGGGACAGCACCCAGGCCTGAGTTCAAGCCCTAGGACTAGCACAAAAAAAAAAGATGGAAGGAAGGAAGGAGGGAGGAAGAGGAAAGCTCAGAGATAGTTCAAGCCCCAGTACTGGCGCGTGTGCGCACGTGCACACACACACACACACACACACAAATGAGACAGAGACATAGAGAAAGAGAGAATTGGAGAGAGAGATGGAGAGAGAGAGAGGCCTAATGGATGAGATTTAGGAAGCTGAGTGAGAGTCATATGGTCAGGGAGGAAGGGGATCCATGTCAATCTGGCGAACAGTGTGAACAAGTGTGGAGGTAGGGTAGGCATGGCGGGCTCTGGGCCTCATTCCTGTGGAGAGTGGAGAGTCTAGGCCACATATCCCTGGCTCAAAATCCCCTGCCCAGCTGTGTGCCTGCTCCTCAGGTGATGTGCCCGTTGGTATACTGCAGCATAGTGTACTGGATGACCGGCCAGCCAGCTGAGACCAGCCGCTTCCTGCTCTTCTCAGCCTTGGCCACAGCCACCGCCTTAGTGGCTCAATCCCTGGGACTGCTGATCGGAGCTGCCTCCAACTCCCTGCAGGTGGGAATGCTGGCAGTGGGACTTCCCAAACCACGATGGGGTCCTGGGCGAGGGATCAGGGGCTGGGATGAACCTGTGGGAAACTCAGGGACCACCCCAATCCCAGTCACCCCCATGACAGCCCGGCCCCCTGCCCCTCCTCTGCAGGTGGCCACTTTTGTGGGTCCAGTCACTGCCATCCCTGTCCTTTTGTTCTCTGGCTTCTTTGTCACCTTCAAGACCATCCCCACTTACCTGCAGTGGAGCTCCTACCTCTCCTATGTCAGGTTGGTGCCTCTTTCCTCCACGCCTGCCCCTGCCCTTCCTTACAAGAAGCCCTGTCTAGCTCTCTCTTGGCTGTGCCAACTCTGGCTGCTACCAGGGCCATCCTGGCTGGTCCCTGGGAATGACAGCATTGCGGCTGGGCTCTGGCGATTTGCTGAAGGAGCGGGGTGCCCTGCCCTCTGATGCCCTTAGGTATGGCTTTGAGGGCGCGATCCTGACCATCTATGGCATGGAGCGAGGAGACCTGACATGCTTAGAGGAGCGCTGCCCATTCCGGGAGCCACAGAGCATCCTGCGAGCCCTGGATGTGGAGGATGCCAAACTGTACCTGGACTTCCTGGTCTTGGGCATCTTCTTCCTGGCCCTCCGGCTGCTGGCATACCTTGTGCTCCGGTACAGGGTCAAGTCGGAGAGATAAAGCCTTGTGCGCAGCCCCTGCAGCAGGGAGCCCCCAGCTCCAGCCCTTCTGGGGACGGTTTTAACCTTGTAGACTTGGGCATTGGTTGCTGGTGCAGCCGCCCTCCCCTCCCTCAGCTGCTCCGATGCCTGGCGGTGGGACTGTGCTGCCAGCCTCGGCCCTGGGCGGGTGGGGCTCCGGCCAGGAGTCTTCCCAGACTGATGCAGTTTGTAGCTTCCTCCCTTCTCTCTCCAACACCTGCATGCAAAGACTGCCTGGAGGCAGCCACCTTCTTCCCACCTGCGGCACCCTCCTTTGTCGTCTGCCTGAGAGCACTAGACTCTCGAGGCGCTCACTTACGACTGACCAAAGTGGACCCCACTGGGGTCTCCACCACAACCGTGTTCGTAAAGAAGGCTGCTGAAAGGTGGGGGTGCCAGGGCTGGGCCTTGGTGGAGTCCACTGGAGGGCCGGGGGAGAGCGTCCCCTCACTGACTTTGGGATGAACCAAGGAGGGACTCTGGAAGTCTCTTCTAACTCCCCCTCTCCGCCACGCTGGCTCGTTTGGACAATCTGCTGGGACAGAAGCTGGGTTTTCTGTCTGGGTGGCCTCCCGAATCCTGGGGATCGGGGAGGCCATGGGATGTCCCAACCCCCTTTCAGGTACATGTTTGGTCAGGGTCCAGCTGGCGGTATCTCTGCAATAACGCCTGCGTTTCTCCCCCGCCCACCACTGGGATGCAGAATGCACTTGGTTCTGGAGAAGGGGAGAGCAGGGGCACCCCTTTCTTGCTGCTCCCATCACATGGTCCACGGACGCCTTCCAGGGTCCCAGGCACTTTCCATGCGAATGGGCAGTCTCAGCCCCACACCTGCGCTGCTCCCTCCAGCTCAGAGAGAGCTGTGGCGGCACAGAGGCAGCGGCAGGTGCCCGGGGAGGGCAGTGCCAGGCTCCTCATAGGATCCCACTTTGAGACTCTGAGGGAGAGGCTGGTGCTGCCGCAAGTGACTCCAGGACCTGCAGGTGTCTACTCCCAGTCTTCCCTCCCTCCTGAGCGAGGGGTGGCACTAGAGGTCAGGACCCAACAAGCACAAGCAGGAGCAGAAGCTTGGCCTTGGCCATCACCACCCCATGGCTCTCCTTTTGTGCTCCAAGCTGACTTTCTCACTCTCCTGCTCCTTCTCTAGCTGCTTGCTGCTCATTCAAACTCCTGTCCTCATCTGTCCACCCTCTACCCATCAGCAGGTGACCCCTGGGCATCTGAACAGCCTGCCCTGTTCACCAAGATGGTGTCCACACATTAAGCTTGTCTGGCTTTTCCAGTGGGTCCAGGCTCATTCTACTCATTTCTTCTCCCCCAGAATCTTTCCCTTCCCCTTCCTGTCCACACACCTCTCCGTCTTCCCTCACTCTGCCACAGGTTCTCATGACCCAGAGATGCCAGTTGTATTTGTGGGATTTCACCCATTATTAATAAAACCTATATTTATACAGTACACAGTATGTGAATGTGTATGGTTCTGTCACCTGGTGCGGATGAGCTAATAAGAGAGTCATTAAAGAACTTGTGAAGATGTCTGCCAACTTTCAGGGGCCTGTGGCAGGGATGGTAAATGCTGGGCGCGCGTCAAGTCAGTGAGTGCAGCCTATGGAATATCTGAATCATGCACTCCGTCTTACCGGTGCTTTGTGTTCAGCATCTCAAGTAAGGCCTTGGAGAACTCATGCTTGGATCAGTAAAATGCCACTGGCTCTCAGGAGGTGGAGGTAGACGCAGGCCTGGAGACCAGGTCTATTGCTTCCAGATGTCTTGTTCTTGGCATTGGTCAGTGTCCCTGTTCATGGTGTGCACATGGTGTGAGTTCCTGTGCGGGTTGCATGGCTGTATTTTGCCCTAATGATTGGTATCCTCTTGGTCTGTCAGGACTCACTGAACCCTGGTTGCGCTGGATGGGGAGTATGTCAGGGGTCATGAATGGAATGGGAAGCAGGACAGAATCTGGAACCTTGTTCCTATAGTAGGAGTGGCAGAGATCTCATTGAGCTTACTCTAGACTTCATTCCTTACCCTCTTCTCTGTGTGTGTGTGTGTGTGTGCACGTTTGTGCATGCACAAGCTTGCTGGTACTGGGGCTTGAACTCAGTGCCTTGCATTCTCACTCAGTATTTTTGCCCATGACTGGCACATTACCATTTGAGCCAAACCCCTACTTCCAGATTTTGCTGGCTGATTGGAGGTAAGAGTCTTTTTTTTTTTTTTTTGTCGGTTGTGGGGCTTGAACTCTGGGCCTGGGTGCTGTCCCTCAGCTCTTCAGCTCAAGGCGAGTGCTCTACCACTTGAGCTACAGTGCCACTTCCGGTTTTCTGGTGGTTTATTGGAGAGAGGAGTCTCACGGTCTCTCCTTCCCAGGCTGGCTTTGAACCGCGATCCTCAGATCTCAGCCTCCTGAGTAGCTAGGATTACAGGCGTGAGCCACCAGCGCCCGGCTCTGGAGGTAAGAGTCTTATAGATAGTTTTCTTCCTGGGCTGGTTCTGAACTGAGATTCTCAGATCTCAGCCTCCTGAGTAGTTAGAATTATAAGCCATTGGCACTCAGTTCCTTCTTTTCTGTGGGTCCACATTTACCAGGACTGAGCCATCAGCCGCCAAGACTACAGGCCAGAGATTTGGAAGAGGTGAGTGTCCAGAAGGTCTTGAGGGCTAGTGGCTAGATGACCCAAGAAGCAGCAATTGTCTCGCTCTCTTCTGTCCTGGGCTTGACGCTGGGGATCTGAAGGGACAGGCAGCAGCCCTGGCAGATGCCCGAAAGACCCCACTTGGGTGACATGTAGACTAAATGCCCTGGGATGGACCAGAGTCCAGTCTATGACTAGTTGGAAATTGGACTGGAGATGTCTCAGAGGATTTGACTGGCAGCGGGAGGTGGAAAGTCCTAGGTTGCTTTGGGTGTCCTGGGAGCTCCTTCTCCATGAAGTGATGCCGCTCCACAAGCCATCCATGGCTCTTCACAAGCCAAAGGGCACAGAGGTTCACCATCAAGTTGTCTTTCTTAAGGTCCTCATCTTTACCTTTTTTCTTTCAAAATGCAAATACTTCTTGGCATTGGCGGCTTACACCTGTAATCCTAGCTACTCAGGAGACTGAAATCCAGAGAATTGTGGTTTCAGGAAGTCAGCTGGGACAGAAAATTCCATGAGCCTCTATCTCCAAAATAATCAGCAAAAAATCAGGCTGGAGGTATGGTTCAAGTGGCAGAGCACTAGCTGAGCTAGCAAGCAGAAGAAGCATGAGGCCCTGATACAACCCTGGTATTAGTAAGAAAAACTGCAAATAGGTCTGAAGGAGTTAAGCATTTAAAAATGCACACATCCACAAGTGCCATGGGGAGGGGCGGCAGCAAACAGCCACGCTGGAGCCAGCACGAGTCATGTAGACACTGAGAACATTTGTAGAGTGGTTCACAAAGTTGCAATGAGATCTTTCCATCCCACAGGAACCCCATGAGGGGTTTGCATGAGTTCTCTCCTCTCCTCTTCTTACAGAACAGGAAACTGAAGCCAGTAGACATAAGCAAACCCTCAACACACAGTGCTCAACCAGGCCCTGGTGGCTCACATCTATAATCCTAGATACTCAAGAGGCTGAGATCTGAAGACTGAGGTTCAAAGCCATCTTGGGCAGAAAAGTCCTTGAGATTCTTTTTTTTTTTGGGGGGGTCCGGTCATGGGGCTTGAACTCTGGGCCTGGGCACTGTCCCTCAGCTCTTCAGCTCAAGGCTAGCGCTCTACCACTTGAGCCACAGCGCCACTTCCGGCTTTTTTCTTTTTGCTTATGTGGTGCTGAGGAATCGAACCCAGGGCTTTGAGCATGCAAGGCAAGTGCTCTACCACTGAGCCACCTTCCCAACCCCGTCCTTGAGATTCTTATTACTAACGAACAAGCAAAAAGCCAGAAGTGGAAATGTGGCTCAAGCAGTGGAATACCAGCCTTGAGCAAAAAAAGCTAAGCAGGAGGAGTTGGAGGCATGGTTCAAGTTGTAGAGTGCCAGCCAATGAGTGAAAGCAAAGCTTGGGTGCTGTGTTCAAGTCCCAGTCTCAGACCAAATAAAATAAAAATAAAAAACCAAGCAGGCACACAAGGCCCTAAATTCAAGCCCCAGTACACACACACACACACACACACACACACCCTGTATAAATGCACTCTGCCCATCTCTACATGTTTGGAAATGGGGCCCTCTCTCCCTAAGTGCTCACCTGATCAGGTTCTTTCATATGACCATTTCTGAATGTATGCTAGGACTACACAAAGTACTAGAGGACAGTTGACCAAGATAGTTCATGCTACAGCTTTTAGAGCACCTGGCACTCCATCCTGCGGTCAGACAACAGAAGACATGCCCACAGCATGACTCGCTCTACTTCTGTCTGCAAAAAGCCAGTCAAATGATATGTTATTAATAAAATCTACATGGGTGTTGAACCAACAGGAGAGGGGAGCAGCAGGCTCCAAGCCATGGCCAGTACCTGCAATCAAGTGACATCTGCCTCTTATGGTAACCCCCCCCTGCAGCCAGAGGGTTGTTCTATTCCCCCTCTCCCCTTTTCATTCAGCTCCCCTGGGAGAACTTCTCTTAAAATGCAAATGTGCCATTTTCCCTGTTGCTTGAATTCTTTCCTTCTCTGGCTTTTTTTTTTTTTTTTAATTTTGATGAATGAATCTTGGTGGTTTGAGACAGGGTCTCACTATGTAACCCTGACTGATCTCAGACTTTCAAACCTTCTGCCTCAGCCTCCCACGTGCTGGGATTACAGGCGTGAGCACCAGTGCCCGACTGATTTATTTTTAACCATCCAGTTCGAATGTCGCCTTTCTCAGTCAGAAGCAGGTAGTTCAATTTCCTCTTCCAGACTTGTCCAAGGCCTTGTTTTGCCTTGGTCTCTCAAGTCCATCCATTTGAACCTGGTGGTGTGTCCCAGAATTCTGCTTGATCTCTCTAGGGCTATTACTGGGCCTGGCAATGGGGTGGGTGCCCAGTAATGGCCCAACACCACATACTCAATGAATAGACAATTGTCCAGAAGTAAAACATACACATTGTCTTCTGTCTGGAAGGAAGATGGCCCGCAAAGCCGTCTTCCCACCCCACCCTGGCCAGTCTGTCTCAGTTCCCCATGTATGCAGAAGCTTCTGGCACACTGTACACCTACGTCTGCATGTCGAGGTGTGTCCTGCGGGGGGTGGGGTGACGGCCTCTGTGTACACCGCTGTTCCTTGCCCAGCTCAGGGATAAGGGCGAGGGCTTTGAGGACGCGGAAGTCCCACTGCTGACCCACCACTGGATGGCAAACAGGAAGAGCAGGTTGGGGTGGGAACTGTCCAGCAGACCCTCCTCCTTCCTGACTAAAGGGACCTGGGGCCGCACGCAGAGGCCTGGGGTCCGAAGGATTCAGAAGGGAGGCCCCAGGAAGTCGGCCGAGGAGGTGGCGAGCCGCAGACTGTCGGGGATGGGCGTCGGGGAAGATCCAGGCCCCAGCCTTCCCGCCCGCCCGCCTCCCTGCCGGATCAACCAGCCCTGGTCGGTTGGCTCTTCTTTGCGTCGGTGTCCTCATCGGTGAGATGAGGTCACCGTGTGGCAGCCCGGGGGGGGGCGGGGGGCAGTGCCAGCGGGGACGGGCCGGAAGACGGGGCGCAGCGGGAAACCCCCCCATCCGCGCCGGTCCCCGCTCGCTCGCGGGCCAGGACCCCGCGGCCCGTCCGTCCTCCGGTGCCCCTGCCCGGGGCGCGTGCCAGCCCGGCCTCGCTCGCCCGGGCGCGGGCGCGGGCGCGGGCGCGGGCGCGGGCGGGCAGGAAGCGCCGCGCTGAGCCAGCCGGGACGCCGCGAGCCCGCGGGTGACGCCGGCTTCCGCTGCGCGCTCCTCCGCCCCGCCGGGCCGCGGCCCCGCTCCC